CTGAGGTTCAATCCTAAGTACGGAAAAGACAAGTATAAAACTCATTTTTTTGAGACAAGGTATCATGATATAATAGGGACTGGCTGTCAATTCATTATGTAGAAGGAGACAGCCTCAAATTCTTTTCTCTTGTCTTAGTCTCCCAAGTGCTAAGCTTATGATCTTGCACCATCATGCCTGGCTCAATTTTTCACTTTTCAGTATATTCAAAGTTATGTAACCATCACTGTAGACAATGTTAGAATATTTTCATGATCCCCAAAAGAAGATTTATACCCATTAATAGTGATTTCACATCCCTCTCTTCTCCCAGTCTCTGGCAACCATTAATCTACTTCCTGTTTCTATAGATTTCCTTATTATGGACAGTTCATATAAATCAAATCATACATTATTTGATTTTTTGTGACACTAGTTTCTTTCACCTGACATGTTTTCAAGACTTATCCACATTGCAGCATGTATCAGTACTTCTATTTCTTTTTAAGGCAAATAAAACTCTATTATATGGATATGCTACATCTTTTTTTCATCCATTCATCAATTAATGGACATTTGGGTTATTGTCTAATACTGCCATGAATGTTCATGTACAGATTTTTATATGAATATGTTTTATTTCTCTTGGACATATATTGCTGGATCATATAATAACTACATTTAATCTTTTGAGAAAATGCCAGTTTTCCAAAGAAACTACACTATTTTACACTCCCATCAGCAGTATATGAGATTTCTAATTTCTCCACATTTGCTTACACTTGATATTATCTGTCTTTTATTATATTCATCTTAATGGATGTGAAGTGGTTTTCCATTATGGCTTTGGTTTGCAATTCTTTGATGACTAATGGCCTTGAGCATGTTTTCATGTGGTCACTGGCCATTTTTGTCAACACTTTTACATCTTTCTGATCATTCTTTTATACTCACATCTCCCTCTGACCACCACCTGGAAAGGTTCTCTTCTTTAAAAGATTTGTGGCACTAGATTTTTCTTACATGGATAATCTTGGATAATCTCAAAATACTTAACCTTAATCCTATCAGTAAAGTCCTTTTTGTCAAGTAAGATCATATATTCACAGGTCCTGGGTATTACAATGTAGACATCTTTGAGGAGCATATCTGAATACCATAACATAACAATATTAGTAAGTCTTTTGATTCATAAATGTGAAAATTTTCCATTTATATAGGACACCTTTAATTTCTTTCAATCATGTTTTATATTTTTTGGTGTATAAGTATTGTAATTCTCTTGTTAGTTTTTTAAAGTTATTTTATTCTCTTGAGCAATTATAAAAGAAATTATATTATTTTCACTTTTGGATTATCTATTGCTATAATATAGACATGTATTTATTTTATATGTTGATCTTGCATCTTGCACCCTTGTTGAACTTGTTTGTTTTTCTAATAGCTTTTGTATGAATTTCTTGGAATAGTCTATATTAATTATAATGTTGTCTGTGAGTAGACGTAATTTTACTTCTTCTCTTTCTATGTGGATTCCTTTTATTTTGGTTTTTTTTCCACCTAATTATCCTGGCCAAAATTTCCAATGTAGTATCAAAGTGGTAAGAGCAGATATCCTTGTTTTGTTCTTGAAGGTAATGGGAAAATATTCAGTCTTTTACCATTAAGAATGATGTTACTGTAGTTTTTTTTTTATTAATGCCTTCTATAATGTTGAAGAAGTTCCCTTTTCTTCCTAGTTTGTTGAGTGTCTTTATAATGAAAAGATGTTGGATTTTTGTCAAATGCCTTTTCTCCTCCTCTTGAGATGGTAATGTGTTTTTTTAATAACAGCATAAGGTATAATTCACATCTTAAAATTCACCCTTTGAAAGTGTACAATTTTGTGGTTTTTAATAATTACAGAGTGTGCAACTATTACCACTATGTAATTTGAGAGCATTTTCATTACCTCAAAAAGAAACCCTGTACCCATTAGCAGTCACTCCCCATTACCCTGTCTTCAAAGCCCTGGCAACCATTGGTATACTTTCTGTGTATGGATTTGCCTATTCTGGATATTTCATATAAATAGAATCCTGTGATATGTGGCCCTTTGTGTCTGGTTTATTTCACTTAGTGAATTATTTCCAAGATTCATCCATGTTGTAGCACATAGCAGTACTTAATTGTTCTGATTCAGGACAGCTCCTTTCAGCTTTCTTTTTCCCTGTCTTAGTAAACTTGCAATTTAAATTCTTGCTCACATGAAGCTCCCTGTCTCCTTAAATTGCTTATCACCAAATCTTCATTTTTTAAATGTGGAATCTTGCAACTTGAACTCCTTCATATTGTTTCAAATAAACTCATTTCTTTTGGGGATTAATTGGAAGCTCTCTTATGAACAGCCTTTAACTTGGGGAAAATCTTGAAATGAGTACTTTTAGGTTTGGGCAGTGAAAACGGTCTTCTTGCTTACCTTTTCAGATGTGGAACTTAGTCCTGCAAATGAGCTGGGGTAAGGTAATCAGTATTCTCAGCTCTCTATGCCTGAGGTAGAACATCTGCCCTGTGAATGGGGGCTGGCTAAAGGAAGCAAGCCTCTGAACTCTTGTCTGTACTCATCAAAATTTGTATTGGATGTGATGAGTATCCCTTCAAATTTGTGTTGGACTTGAGGAATGCTGGTTGCTTGCACTTCCCATTGAGACACTATATCCCTTGATTGAGAGCTGGAGGCAGAGGGAATCCAGTCCTCTTGGCTATTCTTACCAGGAATGTAACTTGCATCAAGGTGAGCAAAGGAATGGGGAACAGAAAAGGAGTGGATTGTAGCTCAAATGCCATAGACTCTCACTGTTACATTACTGAGTTTTAGCAGGTTTTCTTGAATAAATATTTCATTTGCTCTATTCCCTTAGGACAATTTGCAGCAGTTTCCAACTGAAAAAATACTCTTTGCCAGTTATGGATGTTTCACTTAGGGGACAGTTCCATAGGGTTTTTTTATGCCACAGTTATGGAAGTGGATCCCTTTCCCTACACTGACTTTTTTAGTAAAGTGAAATTTTATGAAGGTGAAAGAAGCCTGGCCTAAGCCATGTGGATGACTTATTTTTTAAATCAATCATTTGATATTTTTACCATTATTTATTTATTAGCTTTCAAGGTACAGTACTTGCTTTTTCTTGCTTTTTTTTAATTTCTCCATATGTGAACCTTGTTATAATATTGTTTTACTTTTTAAA